TTTGTAATTTGTTTTTAATATAAGCTTTTATAATTTTATTTTTTTTTTGTTAATAAAAGACTAATTATAGAAGATATATAAGATATCTTTTATAAAAATATCATATCTGAAACAAATATTATTATTATATAAACTAAAATATCTTTTATTTAATTTTGATTTAGTAAAAAATTAATTGATTATAATTTTAGTTCTAAAAATAAATAGGGTCTTGTACTTGAATTAATTAATTTTTTGTTAATTTTTATAATAATTTCAAGATTATAAAATATTGTAAATTTAAAGATTAATATTTGATTTAAAAGTATATCAAACAAGTTTATATAGAAGTTGATAAACTTTATTCAATAAATAATACTAATGACATATTTATTATTAATCAGAAAAGAAGTTGTATAGGTTGAAAAATAAATTAAAAAAGATAAAAATGTTATTAATATTGTATTGTATAGTAAAAATTATTGAATTTTAAGTTTGAATCAATGAATAATTGGATTTTTTTATTTGATTAAATTATTGAAATTAGTAATAAGATAATTGTAAATGATTTTAATTTATTTGTTTATATAATTAAGTATTGATCAGTCTGAAATAATATTTAAATAAATATTTAAAGTAAATAATTAAAATAATTTAAAATAATTTTTAAGATTTTTAAACTAATTTAATTTGAATTAAATTGAATTTTAAATTTTAAAATTTGATCAATTTCAAATTGAATTCAGATTTAATATAGTTTAGTCTATATAAATTATTAAATAGTTATTTGATTTTATTTAAATAGAATTAGTTAAGAAATTAAAATAAAAAAACCTGTATTTTTTTCCTACATATGGAGTAACCAAACATCCGGATCTTGACTAAATTCAGTTAAGCTGCATGAAGATGGGACCTTTGGTTTTTCTGATGATCGCGAGCTAAAAACAGGTTGAAGCAGGAAAGGTTGCATGAGGAAAGACTTCTGGTCTAACTCCGATAAAAGCCCATAAACCCTCCTGGCACAGCAGACTCTGTAGCACAAAGAACATTCTAGCTTGAGGCTATCCCAATCTGGTGCTTGCTTAAAAGAAGATTGGATGATTTGTTATATAAATGGAAGCCGCAGGTGGTGACAATAAGTATAGTATCTTCTCTGAAGTTTCAAGTGAAAAGTATTGAACGGGTTATCCAGGTGTTCTAATCAACCCTGAAAGATACACACTCCTTATGACCTAGATGGACTAACAAGTTTAGGTGGGTTTAAACTGATAGCAGGACCTCCACCTCCTGGAAATTAGTCCCACCTGGTGTGTGGGCCCATTTACAAAGTGTAAGTTCGTATAGCTGGGTTAGAGGTCAAATTAAGTTAGCTATTACTAGTAATAGTCAATAGGTAGTGTTAATTCTAGTTACATAGAAGACATAGATGGTATACAAATTGTACAAAAATGACTCTGTACTTAGAAGACACTTGATGTATAACTTAGATACTAGTATCAATAAAAGATATGCATCGTTGCATAATTTGCCTCTTAATAAAAAAAAAAACAAAAAAACAATTTTAATATATAAATTTTTTTTAAAAAAATTATTTAAAAAATTAAAAAAAATTATTTGATTAATAAAAAATCATAAAAAAGTTTTTTATAATATATAAATAATTAAATAATTAAATAAACAATTTAAAATTGGACCCGTGGGTCTATAGCACAGTGGGTAGTGCTCCCAGGTCTCCAAATGCATGTTCCTAGTTCAATACCTACAGAGGGCAAATGCAAAAATTCATCTGTATGTAGGTTTACTGGTTTTCCTACATATGGAGTATCCAAACATCTGGATCCTGACTAAAATTCAGTTAGGTTGCATGAAGATGGGATCTCTGGTCTTTCTGACGATCGCAAGCTGAAAACAGGTCGAAGCAGGAAAGGTTGTATGAGGAAAGACTTCTGGTCTAACTCTGATAAAAGCCCACAAAACCCCCTGGCACAGCAGACTCTGTAACACAAGAATATCCTAACTTGAGGCTATTCCAATCCTGCGCTTGCTTAAAAGAAGATTGGACGATTCATCATACAAACGGAAGCTGCAGGTAGTGACAATGAGTATAGTATCTTCTCTAAGGTTTCAAGTAAAAAGTATTGAACGGGTTATCCGGGTGTTCTAATCAACCCTGAAAGATACACACTTCTTACGACCTAGATGGACTAACAGGTTTAGGTGGGTTTAAACTGATAGCAGGACCTCCCACCCCCTGGAAATTAGTTCCACCTGGCGTGTGAGCCCACTCACGAAGTGTAAGTTCATATAGCTGGGCTAGAGGTCAAATTAAGTTAGCTATTACTAGTAATAATCAATAGGCAGTGTTAATTCTAGTTACATAGAAGACATAAATGATGTACAAATAGTACAAAATGACTTTAAAATTTTATAAAGATTATTTCTTAATTAATTTGTTTTTATTTTACAAATTAATAAATTAAAATTATTATAAATAATTTATTTGTTTATTTATTGTAATTAATTAAATCATATATTTAAAAATTTTTTATTTTGATATAACAATGAATTTTTTAAATAAAATATAATAGACAAGATCTAGTCAATGTTAATAAAATATATATATATTTTAATATACTTACTGTATGTAACGTTGAAAACTGGAATACAAAAATCACTTATTACTTTATAACCAATCATTAAAATCACGTGAAACTTTTATAGAATTAAGTTGAAAATAAGAAAAAAAAATTTATTATTAAAGATTTTTTAATAAGGAATGCGCTCCCCCTTTTTTTCAATTATAAGTTTGCAGCACTTCCTTATAGAATCTATTAAATTATTTAAAATAAAAACTGGAATTTTTTTCCACTCTTTGATATAAATTTTTTTTAATTCAGCTTGATTACGTAGCATTTGTTTCTCAATATTTTTTTTAATAATACTCCAAAGGTTTTCAATCAGATTTAAATCCAGACTGCATGAAGGTTAATCAATAACTTCTAATGCATTATTAGTAAGAAAACTTTTGGCAAGATGACTTGTATACTTTGGATTATTGTCTTGCTAAAAGTACCACCTACTTTTAAACTTTTTTTTAACTTGTGAAAGATGTTCTTTAAGAATATTCACATAAAAGCTAGCATTCATTATTTATGAAAAACAAAATAATTTTGTTTTTCTATTTTTATAAAAACTCCAAGCAAAAACCTTCTTACGATTCTTAGGAATATATCTAATAGGCTGTTCTTCTTTTATATATCATCATTCTATTATGTTTCTGAAGAGTGCAAACACAGTTTCATCAGTAAATACAGTTCTCTTCCAATTGTCATTAAGATGTTTTATTGCCTATTCCACTTGGTTTTGCTTTTGTTTTACAGTAAGCATTGGAGTTGCAATCGAAAGTTCTTTTATATAATCCAAAGCATTCAAATGTTTTTTTATGGTCATATGCGACACCTCTATACCTATTTTGGATAGTTTTATAGTTAATGTTCTGGTTGAAAGAGATGAGTTCTAATGAATGTATTTTTTTAAAGCATTTAACCCTTTGCTTGTTATTTTCTGGAGATGGCAATTGTTGTAAGTGCATTTTGTTGAACCTGTCTTTTTTAATCTGTTTATTTTATCATAAATGGTTGAAAAAGCTATATTGATTCTCTTGTGAAGTTCTTTGGCATTCCAGATGCCTTTATTTCACAAATATTGTATCGTTTTGCACTGCAACTCTTTTTCTTTGGTCATTTTTTATCCTAGAAAAAAATTTTTTTAAAAATATGTTAGATATATCTAAATGTATCACAATAAGGATTGCAAACCTTAATTTATCAGGGGTATTAAAGGGGCATATATATAGTTAGCCTATTTCGGTTAATACCCAATTTAATTTCCATTAAAAATTTTCTGGTTTTCAATGTTACATACTGTATATACATTTATGATTATATTAAGAGTTGATTAATCATATTTAATGTTGTGTTAATTTTTAATTAATTTTAAATTATTTTTGTCTAAGTTATAATATACTTGTTTTTTTTTTTGTATATATTAAATTACTTAAGAAATAAAATTGCATTTATATTGTTATTATTTGAATTAATATCATTTTTATTATATTTTTAAATTTTTATTAACAATCAACTTTACTAAAAGAATGATTAAAATGAAATATTAAAAATTGTTTTTTTATTTTAACTAAAATTACAAACGCAAGCTACGTTATTAATATCTGTTGAGTAAATTGTATCAAAGATTTTTATTAATCAGAGTTACACCGTCCGTATTATTTAGCCAATATCACAGATGGTAAGCATAATCTTATCGAGTAAACTCAACTCATATACCGCAAAAGCATTTTTGATTAATTAGAGTTACGATATTTGATTTAATGAGTAAACATATTTTCATTAATATTTATTGAGTAAATTTATATCAAAGGCGTTTTAATTGATTTGATTTTGTGTTATTTACTTTAACTATGATCACAGACGGTAAGCTAATTTATATTAATTTTATTTAGTAAATTTATAACAAAGGCGTTTTCAATTACTGTAATATGAACCATGTTTTACTTTAACTACGATCACAGATGGTAAGTATAATATTTCTTGAGTAAATTCATTATACTGTAAAATGTTTCTGATTGATCTGAGTTATATTTTTACTTTAACTACGATTGCAGATGGTAATCATAATATTTCTTGAGTAAATTTATATCAAAGGTTTTTATTAGTCAGTCATTTAGCTAATATTACAGATGGTAAGCGCAGTCCGTATTTATTGAGTAAATTCAGAAGTGTTTTTAATTAATCTGAGTTATATTTTTACTTTAACTATTTTACAGATGGTAAACATTACGTACTAAATTATATTGAGTGAATGTTTTGGTAAGGCTTTATAAACCAAACATCTTTTCGTTGGTTAGATGCCAACAAAAAAAGTTAGTGTCTATTTTTTAAATAAATATCAACCGCAAGAAGGTTATAGATTCAAAAACCTGACCAATTTTAGAATCTTTAACCATGGATGATACTTTCAATTTGCAATTTGTCGCCGAAGCAATGTCGTCTCTAATTGGCTGTCGTGTAGTGGCAACCGAATCCGAAGGACCCGCTTTAGATATTGATTTGGTTCATAGATACTGTCTTCTTGAAGTAGATGACAATGGTGAAATTGTTAAAAGACCTCGATTTGAAGAATATGAACAAGGTTGTGACCCGAGACGAATTAGAAGAGATGAAGAAACCAGGCGATGCGATTGTTTAAAACAAATTTTTTTCAACTTTTCCAGAGAAAGTCGATCAATATTCATAGCTCTGCATGATTGCAGTGTTCGTGAATTGAGACGAAAAATTCAAGAAATACTTAGCATCGACGAACCATTAAGTCTTATATATAATTATCAAACATTGGATGATAGTCGTACTCTTGAATCATACGATATCCAACCACGCAGTACCATACACGTTATAAGTGAAGATGAAGACAGTAACTGGTTAAAACAAATTTTTTTCAACTTTTCCGGAGAAAGTCGATCAATATTCATATCTCTGCATGATTGCAGTGTCCGTGAATTGAGACGAAGAATTCGAGAAATACTTAACATCGACGAACCATTAAGTCTTATATATGATTGTCAAACATTGGATAATAGTCGTACTCTCGAATCATACGATATCCAACCACGCAGTACCATACACGTTATAAGTGAAGATGAAGACAGTAACTGGTTAAAACAAATTTTTTTCAACTTTTCCGGAGAAAGTCGATCAATATTCATATCTCTGCATGATTGCAGTGTCCGTGAATTGAGACGAAGAATTCGAGAAATACTTAACATCGACGAACCATTAAGTCTTATATATGATTGTCAAACATTGGATGATAGTCGTACTCTCGAATCATACGATATCAAACCACGCAGTACCATACAGGTTAGAAGAGAAGATGAAGAAACAAGGCGATGCGATTGGTTAAACCAAATTTTTTTCAACTTTTCCGGAGAAAGTCGATCAATATTCATATCTCTGCATGATTGCAGTGTCCTTGAATTGAGACGAAAAATTCAAGAAATACTTAAAATCGAAGAACCATTAAGTCTTAGATTTAATTGTCAAACATTGGATGATAGTCGTACTCTCAAATCATACGATATCAAACCAAGCAGTACCATACACGTATCATATAAATTACTAGGGGGTTTTCCTGGTTATTATGTTGTAAAGGAAAGTTTCTTAAAGCCTCAATTCGATTATGACTACACATATGGGCGAGACTATGGACGACAGAGACGTGGATATGAGCGATACCATTTACCTATCGGATGGAAAAAAATTGGTCTGAACGTTGAAAAGTACGGTGATAATAAATGGTTAGGCACTGATACAGATGCATGGCCAATCTCTTATCACGGCACTGGTTACGACGCCGCTAGAAGTATTGCTATTGGTGGCTTTGATATAAACAAAGGAATAAATTTTGCATATGGAAAAGGAGTTTATTCATCTCCTTATTCTGATGAAGCTGAAATATATTCCAAAGAATTTACTTGTAGTTTAGACAATCATAGATATAAGTTGATGTTTCAGAATAGGGTTAACCCTACCGATCTCCGAAAGGAAAACAAAGAAAAATATTGGATTACAGCATCAGATCAAAATATTAGACCATATGCGTTATGTTATAAAAGAATTGGTTAGTCTGTGTTTTTAAGATTTTGTTTGTATCGTTACGAATACAACAGTTATCAGCACTAAAAATAGCAAAAAGAAAATATTTAGTAGATAGTATTGGTCAGAAGAATTTACGCGGTTATATTTTATCACTGTATGTATAATTTAAAATAAACATACCTTTTACAGTAGTGCTAAGACCATATGTTAAGCTATAAATATTATCATGACAGTCATAACGATGTAATCTAATTATGACTATATTTATTAGAGGGTGCGACCCTTAATAATTTGCCCAATATGGATGTTTTTTTGATATGCGAATTCATAATGAAGTAACGAATTCGCTTTCTAGGAGTTATACATAAAGAAATGAGCGAGACATCAATTCATCCTCACTTTCACCTTATTCGTATCTAAAGTGCCACCATGAACTCTATAAAACACGTCAATTTCGTAAACGATATCCGCAGGTTCGTCCTTTGAACAATTTACGATAAAACGCAAATTTAATATAGTAACTCGTTAGTGCGAAATCGCAAAAATTATATTACATCAAACCGTGGAAATACGTAAAAATGTTCTCAAATAATTCGCGTTCATGCTAGTCCAATCATTGGTATTATACATAAATGTTCGAAGAGTGGAAACCTTATCACTGCTATCAAAAGACCACGGCTGAACCTGGATGCTAATACCGAATTACTACAAAGGATCGATGACCTGAACCGCAATATAATCTAAAATTACTCTCTACCATGAGGAGAGCTACAAAATGGCATTTAGCTGAAAACAAAATATTTTATATAGGTGGGTAGTTATAAACAAAATTTATCAATCGTGTATCAGCAGCATATTTTTTCGAAGACCCAAAAGAATATGAACGATCATTTTTATGACTTATGATCCGAGCAATTTCCTCCCTTGCAAGGTTTCACATTTTTGTTTTATCATCCGAAAAATAAATTGCAAATCATAAATGAAAAATTTATTCTTTAAGTACATCTAATCTTAAATTTTAACGATCAAAGGTTCTTTGCCCAAACATTCTATCTTGAAACTGTCATAATTTTCAGAGCATGATACATGTATGAAATCCTGCAGTTTTCGAACCTTTTTTGACACACTGCGGATGTCTATGATGGCTATACTCTTGGCATATCTAACAATCTTCTTATATTCTCCTCCAGTCTCAAACCTCCTACGATGCTCAGCCATATCTTCACCATCTCTCAAGAGTTCTATTGCCCAGTCTAGCTTGTCCACGTAAAAATTGATGTGTCCATCGCATCCAAAAACTGCGCCCACATCACATGATAGAAAATAGTTCATTCCTAATACTTGTGTCCCGACTCTGTAAAATTCCCTTTGCCATGTTTGTTCTAGAAGGTTGCCGTTTACTCCAAGAGTCCCCCTCAAAATTTTTCCGCTTGGTCCATCACACATTGCCGTAATAATTTTCACAACAAAATCATATAGTGATGAAGGAGTAATTTGGCAAGTGTTGTGGGTTCCATAATGTTGCTGAAAAAATGAACGCCTTATAAGAGGTGCCGAAAAAAATAGATGCTCGTCATCAACGATGAGAATTCCGGATTCGACTAAACGTTGGATGTAGGTATTATAAGGGTTGAAGGGCATCTTCCCATTTACGTAAATATTTTCGCATATTTTCAATTCCTGAGGAGAGAGGATCTCGACTTTTATTGAAGCACGGCATCGATCAATCGTCGAGTTAAACTCATGTGAATTCAAGAACGCAAAAATGTCTTGAAAGACAGTACATTTTCCCGAATCCGTCGCTCCATTTCATTTTTTGTGTATCGCAATAGGTGAAAAACCAAACCCACATGTCCCTCTGTCGTTGTTTGAATATAGCGACTAAACTCTTCGATGATTGGAGATTGAGCTTCCAATTTGAAGTATTTTCCACAGTACCTTTCAACACATTCTTTTGACTCTTTATCAGTAAATTTGATATCAGTGAGACCTCGGCATTTCGATGGTGGTATCTCAACGGGAGTGGAAAGTCCTGCAGAGTTGGCACTATGATATCTGTATGCCCCGAACATTACGATATAGATGTTTTCCACTTCTTGAAGACATCCCTTCACAGTTTTCCAGAATACATTTGCACTCGTTTCATTACTTTCTTCAGTTCCACGCTCTTTCTTGCATATCATTTGAATTTCATCTAATATTAAAATTGTTGGAACGATTTTGCGTTGTTCTATCCATTCAGCCCAATTTATACCGAATATCTTCTTCCAAAATTCACCAAACGTTGACCAATTCACATAAGATTCCCAAATCATCGAAACTCTTATAACCCTGTACTTCGAATATTCTGGAGAAGTAACCAAGTAATGATCCATAAGTTGAGTTAACGATGTTTTTCCAGAGTAAGGAGGGGCCTGAACAAGAATTATTTTCTGTCTGAGAAGTTCTTTTATTAAGGACGAAACCCTTTCAGTTCTAAGGCTGATGTCAGGGTCATTAATATAAATTCCTTCAAAAGTGTCCTTGTGCTTCAAATCAGCTAGAAGCGTACCGCCAAGGCCAGCTAAAACACCGAGTTAGAAACATAAAAACCGCGACTAAAAAAATCAGTTTATACATACTTTGTCGAGGCAGATAACCAAGGTTGCGATTTCGTATATTTACAGACCCTTGACCTTCATCGAAAAGCAAAATACATGTTATATAGAATACAGAATAGCAAAACTACCTTTATTGGGAGAAACCTACCAGTAGTGTTTGGCGGTTGGACGATAATATGGATGTGCTTTATTGGGAGCTCTTCCTCAAAATACTCTCCGATAGGAGTGAGGTCGTCATCCAACTGTATACCTCCGAATTTCTGTTTGATGTCAATTCCCATATATATTTCCCGTTTGTTACTTTCAGGGATATTAACCTTCCATAATACGAGTTTGTTTGCGTCAATACCACGAAGACTATTCTTATTTTCCTCCAAGATGGCTTTCATGAGATGTGAGACAGTCTTGCTCTTATCGATATCAACGGCAAAAGCCCCATCTTCACCTAAAACGATACAACCTAGCGTGATGTCGGTGACAAACATGATTATATCTGCGCTGTATACGAAAAAAGAAATTGATGATTTAAAAAGAAAACTATCACTTTAAAAGAAAACTTGGGATAAAAATTTTTAGGCCAAAAAAATCGTAAGCTAACTGAAATGTTAATGACGGCATGATGATCGAATCTTGCGAGTAGACGAGGAAAAAAACTACTGTAATTGTAATCACCTTATATATTTGCTGAAACCCATTGATTAAGCCAATCATGATGTCTTTAACTTTTCCAATATGCATTTGGGATTTGGAGAATTCCTATCTGTTTAGCTTATCTGCCACCTAGAATTCTCTTCAAATTGCAGACATAAGAGCCGGAGCTAGAGAAAAAATAGTGTCAATTTAATGTCGCATAGATCTGGCTGAATACATACTGTAAAGTTCCATGAATAACTTCATCATTTTTGGCGTCAGGGTTGCTTATTCACAAACCCTCGATCCAAATCTAACGTACTATAGCTCAAGAATGACATTCTGATAGTTTGCACGTTTCAATTGAACGGCTAGTCGACAAAATAATCATAGAAAGCTCTATTTTTATATAAAATTTACTAATTACAAAGGTGTTTCTTATTACAGCTCTGATTTCACGGCACAGATCAACTCAGGAGGTGCTTTGGAGACCTTGTTAGTTCTGCTAATTAATGTTTAATGATCATAATCATTTAGATTCCGGAGCGAATTACGAACTTTTACATCGAGAATAGTGCATTTCTTACATGTTCCAAAGTATCCAGATAAATTCTCTCAGCATCTCAGCACAATGTTGCGCTGGTGGGACATCTGAACTTTTAGGTGATTTTCTATGCTTCTTCTCCAGGCGAGTCAAATATTGTCACCTTCGTGGTTTGCATTTGTAACCGTCGAAACTCATCGGCATCAGGAAATTTTTTTAGATAGTTATCTATCAATAGATAACAGATAATCATTAAAATTTAATCATTATATATCAATAATACTGCTAAGTATCTGTATGTATTAGATTAAAAAATAATTAAAAATCAATACAATATTTGATAAAAATTGTTGTATATTAATTAACAAATTTTTGATTTATAACAATATTTGTGGCATATTGTTAGATAACTATTTACAGTAATTAATTTTGATACATAACAATAATCGATATTAATTGTTTTTAATTAATCGAATATACAGTAATTTGATAATTTAATATGCGATGATGTATAGCATATCATCAATAATTAAGTAATAAACAATAGATTTCAAATGTTTAAAATTAAAATATATGATTATTTACTAAATATCCATTTTGTTTTTTCAAATATTAGAACTATACGTACCATTTTATTTATATTATCTATTGATATACATACAACTATATATGTTGTTCAAGTAATTCTAATTTTTGATATTCCTATATTTCATTATCTTCTTAATATCAATAAGTATAAACAAGTTTAAATGGCTTGCTATCTATTGATTATAAAATTTAAATAACAACATTTAAATAAAATATTAAATTAATATAACAATTTTTATCATTTAATATCAATATAATTTAAACAAAAATTCTTATTAAACTATATAAATAAATTTTTCATTTTCATTTTTATACTTAAAAAAACATTAAAAAAAGATGGATTTTTATGAAATATAATAAGAAATGAATAGTATTGATGTTTTCAATATTTCAAAAAAAATACTTTTAATTTATTGATAAAATTAATTGATTCTTCAAAAAATTTAACAAAACTTATTATTAATATATATAATTTTTTAATTTGTAACAAATTAAAATTTTTTTTATTTTTTTGTATAATTTATTAATAAGTAATAAATAATAAAAATTAATAAAAATTAATTTATAATCTTTTTTAAATAGATAACTATTGTTACTTTATTATAATTATAAAATTGAAAAATTATTAAATGAAAAAAGTAACAATATCTCTCATATAACCAATTGATTAATAAGTTTAATACTGCCTTGCCTATAATAAACTATTTAAGTTATAATATATATATACAGTGTGTAACAAAACTTTTTGGAATTTTTTATTTATTCATTACTCAAAAACTACTGCATAGAAAT